CTGGATCAAGACTCAGCTTGAATGGCAAAGGGCCATTGAATAGCCCTGACAAAAGAGAGAGGGTTTGTGGGTTGCAAAATGGTTCCTATTTGCATGCACTTTTTCTTGGTTTTAAAATTTAGTCAGAATATAGACAGCCACAAACTTTCCAATAAGAAAAGTGTAACATTAATATTACCTTTGTCACTGCTTAGAAAAATACAGGAAAATGGACTCAAAACTTGCCGATGTTTTTATGTAAGTTCAGTTTCAAACCACTATTCTAAACTATATGAATGAGTGTGTATCCGAACATCCAAAAGAACAATCTAAGGAGAATGTTAAGGATGCAAAGCCAAGCAAAGGTAGGAATGCCAGAAGTAAGTTTGCTTGTGCACCCATAATTCAGCCCCCTTTTGAGTATGCATTGTGGGAAGGGACTGTCTTTTTGTTCTGTGTTTGTACAGCACCTAACACAATGGGGTCCCAGTCCGTGACGGGCTTCTAGGCATCACAGTAATACAAATAAATAATAAATAATGACATAATCACCTACTATTTTTCCCAGAGAACTCCCATATCATTCAGTGAATGCGTTTTTATCCTCTTAATTCAATGTGTGGTGTCAGGCCTTATTTAATACATTAGCCAAACCCTGCACTGAATACAAACTCTTTTATCTTCTCCTGGGTGTTTGGTTCTATGGCACTCGTCACCATAGTATCTGAGTGCTTCACAAACTTTAAATAATAATTTATCTTTATATCACCCCTGTGAGGTGAAGGTATTATTAGTGTTATCCCCATTATACAGCTGGGGGAGGGAAACACAAAGCAGTAAGGCCAAATTTGTCAGAAAAGTCCACTAATCTTGGGTGCCCAACTTGAACCAGTTAGGTTTTCAGGGTATATAGCATTTTTATTGTATTTTGTAAGTTCAGAGCACAGCTCCAATTGACCTCAGCTGCAGCTGTGAGCTCTTAGTGCTTCTGCAATTCTGAGCCCAGGAGTCTCATGTTGGGCAACCAAAAAATGAGGCCAAACACTCAAAAGTTAAGAAATTCCAGAATTATGCCATAATGCATATGCATAAGGGGGCTGAATTAATATTCCACAGACAATCTTAATTCTGGCGTTTCCCTTCTTTTTAGTATTTAGCTTTGCAACCTTAACATTCTCTTAGGGCTTGTCTACACTGTGACGTTGTCGACAAAACTTTTGTCTTTTGGATACTTAAAAAATCCCCCCCGCGAAAGACAAAAGTTTTGCCGACGCAAGTGGCAATGTGAATGCGGCTTTGTCGGCAGGAGTGCTCTCCTGCCAACAAAGCTAACGCCGCTCGCAGGGCTGGAAGTATTTTGTCAGCAAAAGTGCCGACAAAATACCGACAGAGAACGTTCACACATGCCGACTTTTAGCGACAAGGCTGTGTCGATACAGCCTTGTCGCTAAAAGCTGCGTAGTGTAGACAAGCCCTAAATGTAGGTTTGTTTGAGTGTGTGTGTGTATACCCTATGTGTAATTTATTGTACGCCCTTCAGACTCCCACTCAAGCAAAATTAATATACTGACATGTGTCTGTAAACAGAAATTTTCAATTTTTCTTAGAAGAAGCATTTCACATATTGTAAAAATATTTGGTTATTTTTCTTTCTGAAATTGAATCTAAAGAAACAGCATTTATTACATAAAAGGACTTGCATTAAGAAAGAAAGCTTTTTGTGTGCAGATGTAGAAACAGTACTCCCAGTATTAATTTTGCATACGTATACTTTAGGAAATAGTGCATACATGTCATCTTCTGCTCATTTATACATGTTTTTTCTTGGTTCACAGATCATTCCCAAAGGGCGGGGGAGGGGAACAAGCAGTGGAAAAATCTACTTCAAAAAATGCCAAAGTAGAATTCCACTCCTGCATCCAATAGTCAAGCCTGCGTTTCCCCACAGGGAGAGGCTGGTGGGCAGAGTCATGTGGAGCCCACAATGGGAGGGGTAAGGAGCTGGCTCCATAAATGAGTTTGGCTCCTCTCATCCTGAAAGTTGCCCACAATTCCATATCCTATTTTCACTGCATTGCTGACCCCAACTGTTCAAGCATAATGAGTCAGGCCCCAAAAGATCATGAGCTGGGTCTAAAAATCATGAGATTTTGCAAAATAATAAATATGGTTGGGGTGGTGGGTTTTTTGCCTTCTGGGATTTGAGCCTTTAAGGTGAATGTTTGAAGCTTTTCTCCGCAAACATGAGGGAGAGACACTCCCCTATTTAAAACAATGAAAGCGGAGGTTCTTGTGTAATCATTTGACAATGGGAGCTGGGGCTTTAAAGAAAAACACCAAAGTATTGCAAGACTTGCAGTAAAACCGTGAGGCAATATTACATTTAGACCATATAGGCGTGTATCTGCATGTGTGTATCAGTATTGCCAACCCCAAAGTTTCAAAAATCCTGAATTAACCCCCCAAATATGCGTTTTTAAATTATATTTTTTTATCTTCTAATATTTGAATTCTCCCTGCCCACCCACAGTGTATGTGACAATTAGAGTTGCCAAATTTATTAAGGTAATTTTGGCCGCCATGGCAGGAGCTCTTCCCCCGCCCAGCAATTAATTCTGCCCCCCCAACTCTGCTCTCACCAGCTCACATCAATTCTACACCCCCTGCCTCACCTCTGCTCCCCTGGCGTGCCAGGGGTCTTCATTGCCCCCTCCTAGGCCTGGGGGGATTGCTGCGTGGTTCCCTTTTTCCCTTCCAGGCTGGGTGTTGTAGGTGTAGGGGGAGGGGCAGAGGGACCGTCCTGTTCTATTGCTCACAAGGTGGAGGGAGGAGCAGAACTTATCTGAGCTGCTGAGCTCTGTCTGTTCCCTCATCCCTTGTCCTCCCTCCTGTGAGCATGGCTCCTGGGGGGAGGAGGATGGAGCTTGCCTGCGTCTTTCAGCAGCTCTGATTGGCTGCTCTCCCGCAGGACGAGGGGCATTGGGGGAAAGCAACCAATCAGAGGGACTTCCCCCCCAGTCAGGCCTGAAAATCTGGAGGGGGTTGGAGCTTCTTGTGTGCTCCCCAGCTGGCTGCAGTGCCAGCTCCTGCTTCTCTTCCACCACAGGCTGACGGCGTGTATGTGTGGGAATACGCTGTTGTCTCCTCCTGTCTGAAAGTCCTCTCCTGTCCCCTCCTATGACTTATGGCAGTGGGTGCGAGTTACTGATGGATCCCATGCCCAGACAAGAGTAAACAATGGACCCAGCAATGCTGTGGTGTTTCTTTGCAGTGCCTGGCTACCCCACTTGCTGTGCCTGTGACATCAGCTAGTAACCAGCCTGGGCTCAGGTAATGAGACATTCCATAGGCATCAGAGAAAGGTTCCTGGGCAGGCGAAATGGTGTGAATGGTCTGCTGCCCATTATGCTGTTGAAACCCAGTACAACTGTGCATCACTGTTGGCTGAACACAGCCTGTAGCACTGACATCTTACCCAGAAGCAAGGACTGACTCTAGCCAGCTGCATTAGAAGAAAGTGCCAGTAACGACGCAGTTTGATAAGCATGACACACCATAATCCTGCTTCCAGGCCCTATGTTAACACGCTGGTGTTAGAATTGCTGGACACCACAATTGCCGCATCTACAGGTACATCATCAGGTCAGGGATCCAATGAGCATGTCCGTAGAAGTGCCACACAATAGAGAGCCATATAGCAATAGGCAGACTGATGGCAGAGTTGAAAAAGAACCACAGCACTCTCACGGAGGACTGCTATGCCGTAGGTATATATGACACAGGTCAAAAGGTACAGGAAATCAGAATACACACTATGCATTCTCCCATGTAAAGAAAGACTCCAATATTGTGATGATGCTCAATTATCGTGCTTTGTGCAACTGTGGAGACCAATGCCCTTCTCCCAAATCATTCCCACATGATATTTACTATAGCCCAGTAGCTCATGTATGGCTTTTCATGGTTACCTTAGATCCCTGTTCCACATTGACTGTTCTTAGCCTTTCAAATTTATTGCATTTATAAGGCACCACAATATCTAGGCCCCAATTTGTGTGTATGGAACAAAGTCATGCAGTGCAGACTACTTTGTCTTGATTATGCCTCTTTTTCTGTACACCACAGTCACTTTTCCAGGAGTGTGCCTTGCTTTCTGCAGCACCTGTCAACTGGGGAATGCATTGCATTGCTTTTGCTGGGAACAAGACAGAGCTCACCCTTTGGTGAAGTTTGGATTGCTTTTAGAGCTTTTGGGTGCAAGTTGCATTCTTGTAATCTCCAGAGCACTGAGCATTGGTCTGAACAATCACATCCCTTATAACTTCAGACAAACATAATGAAAAGAATTAACAGTTTTGCCCTTCCAGGAAAAAGGGGAATATATGAATGAGGGAGGGGTACAGAGAGAGAGAGAAAGATTTGCATAGGTCAGAAAAGGGCAGTAAAACATCTGGCATTAGTAACTGACATGTGTCAATTTTAAGCATTCATTAAATTCATATTAATGCAAGAACCGTTCTTAAACTCCAAATGCCACTTTTGGTTGCTATGTTCTTCCATCTGATGGTGATGACTTTTCAGAACTGTACTATGCTTGTTTGCTTGCCACTGGCATCTGACCTGAGGTCAGACTTCTATTTAACCCTTTCTGGTAGGTCAAAAGACAAATTAATCTGGTGAGAATTGAATTGGAAATGCGGTGTCTGGATAACAGGTGTTCCACTTGTGGAATTGCTGCCAGGCTAAAACGTGTTTGCATCTATTCCTATGCCAGCCAAGAAATTGTCTCGGAGGTCAGAGAGCCATTCTTAAAACATTTGAGATGGAAAGTTGCCACAGGGAGTGACAGTAGCAGGTGCTTTATGCTAGAATATTGTCTTTCTGACTTTCGAGAACTTTCTGAGAAGGACATTTGTAGGTAATTTATTTACTTACTAACAGGTTCAATGGCTACAAGTTGTCCAAAAGGAACCTCTCCCCCCTGAAACGGAATGTTACAATTCTTTATTTCTTTTTTCTAGAGGATGAAGATGATGATGAGATTGTGGAACCCAAAGCACGGAATGACTCAGAGATGGAAAATCAAGAACAGAAACACGAGGTGAAAGAAGGTATGTGTTAGAAGAAAGGATTTTGTTATCATTTTTAAGTGCTCCATCCTGCAAATGGTTATCATGTGTACTGCTTACTATTGGCAGTAGTCCCAAGTAGCAGCCCAAGAAATTTGAAAACAATAAATAGTTCCATTTACTCAGATCTAGATTAGTGACATAGAAGAAATATGATGCAGAAGGAAGCTGTATCTGGAGAACCCAGCTAATGGACCCGACAGTCTTGGAGCATAAGCAAAAGATGCTGTTCAGACAATTTTCCTGCATTATATCAGGAATTCTCTGCAAGTTGCTGCATACCATGGAAAGTGTTCAGTGTATGTTGAGTCATGGACTTTCCATTCGATTGCCACATAAAGGGAATCCCAATGCTTATATTTGGAATCTAGGTCTAGGAGGAAGAGAGACAGTGGACGGATGTGAACAGAAGGAAAAAAAACCTAGAGTCCTAAAAATATCTATTTATTTTAGTTTTCCACATACTTGCAAGTGAGCCCTTTTTGTACCTATGTTATTATATCTGAATGAATGCCATCACTAACATCATCTAGTTCTTTGTTATAGGTTAGTCTAGTGGAAGTGTTTCATATTGCCACTGACTTCCTTCCTTGACTAGCAGAGGCCAAATCTCATGTGAGCAATCAATGTGTAAAGTTTTGGTGGCAATGGGCTTTGTGACACTCACACCGCAGAATTCAAAATAGAGCACGGTAGCTGCTGCAAATGACGTAGTCTTATGGGGGTGCTAAAACTCCATGAATTAATTCACTCTTGCTGGACAGTAAATGAACTTGACTTGTGGTGGCAGAGGTAAAATAGCAGCATGCCGATGATGAGCATTAAATGCTGTGAATCAAATGATGTTTGGTCTATTTCTCTCTCTTTTCAACCCTAAACGATCCCGTTTGCCTCTCTAATGCAATCCCCCTTCTCGTGCTCTGAGCAAAACTCAGAGTCTGAAGCCATCTTTTGTGTTTCATGGAAGTGATTAAAACCATGTTACAAGTCAAACAGGAGTTTAGAAGAACATTTCCTGCCGGTGCTGCACTCTGTGAGCCTTATTCAGAATTAATGGCTTTTCTGCAAATTAGCACATAATGGGTTAAAAGCATGTTTATGTTGGCATTAAGTACTCTGGCTTCTTTTTTTCTGCAAGGCAAGACAATATTTTGCAAACTTTTTAAAGAATCTCTAATAGATATTATAGTGGCGCCATTCACACTGCTATATAGTAGTTAAGGCTGTGTCAGCACTTCCATTATGAATCCTGTTTTTCAGGGATTTATAACCCAGCCGTAAAAATTTGCTCTGGGCTGAAATTTGGTTTCAGCTCAGGGAACACTTTTTTTTTTTTAGCAGATTGAAAACAAAATCAGCTTGGGCTTGTGAGAGTTATAGGAGTGTAAAGTGTAAGAATCATGAGGGGGAGAAAGGGAGACAGACAATTTTTTCATGTGTATAACTCAAAAATGGGTTCAGTTTAAAAAAAAAAATAGATTGACCCTGTTATGTTTCATTTTCCTCTAAGCCAGCAAGACAATAGTGACATACTTTCTCAGAGTTTCAGGTATTTTCCAAAGGAAATTGGAGTTCTTCTTTATGGATTATAGGTGCCCGAGTATGTGCGTGTGCTTAATTTTACCCACAGGAGTAGTGCCATTGGCTTCAATGGGATTAGTCACATGCATAAGTGTGTTCAGGATCTGGATCTGTTTCATAGTGACAACAAAGGCTAAAATTCATCCACAGTATAGCGGGCCAGCTCAGTGCTGTATGCACCACTTACACCTCGCATAAGGACTGCACTGAGGCACCAAGAACAGAGTGGCAGCACAAAGGTGTCTATGCCTTTCTATTCATCATGGAGAGGGCTACCGCACTGGCCCCATACAAGCTTCCACAGAAGATCACACTGGGGGCAGGCAGGGATCTACCTCTGTGAGGATCCATTGGCCCCAATGCTTCTCACAACACACAACTGGCATACAGAGACTGTGGCTGCTATTCCCAGGTCCCATCACTCTGCCTGCCATTCACTTGGTAAGAGACAGTCCTTGCCCTATAGAGCTTCTAATGTAAGGCCCCAGTCCTGCAATTTACAGTGTGTAGGAGGAATGCTGCATCTGTGTGGCGCTCCATCGACATCAACAGGCCTCTGCATAGGCGCAGCAGTCCCCCGAGCATTTAAATTGCAAAATCAGGGCTTTGGACTGTCTGTCAGCTGTTCAGGGCAAGGATTGTGTTTGGCCTCTAACCTTTTATCTGTTTTGAAGTCAGTGAGGCTTCTCATGGGAGCCACAGTCCAATTGTGCATTTAAATTGCAGGATCAGGGCCTAAATAGACAAGACAGATAAAGGACAGGAGAAAGAAAGTACTGTTATGCTCATTTTACAGATTGGGAACTGAGGCATATAGAGACTGAGTTGCCCAAGGTCACACAGGAAGTTGGTGTCTGGGCTGGGAAATGAACTCAGATCTCCTGAATCCCAGTCCAGTACATGTTGTAAATAATCGGATCAAATCAATCACAATGCATGGTCAACCTACGGAACTCATTGCCAGGGGACGCTGTGGAGGCCAAAATTATAACTTGGTTCAAAAAAGAATTAGATAAATTCATGGAGGATAGGTCCATCAATGGCTATTAGCCAAGATAGGGATGCAACCCCATGTTCTGGATGTCCCTAAACCTCTGACAGGATGACAGGGGATGGAACACTCAAAAATTGAACTGTTCTGTTCATTCCCTCTGACACATCTGGCATTGGCCTCTGTTGCAAGACAGGATACGAAGCTAGATAGACCATTGGTCTGATCCAGTATAGCCGTTCTTATGTTCTTATAACTTCTGGATCATGTCCTATTTGAATATTTAATTGTCATTGTGATAAAAGAATCCATTTGTGGCTAAAATCAAAATGGCCAAAGTATTATTCACCATATATCCTGCCTGCCATGACCCTTTAAAAAAAAAAAAATTCACCAGAGATTTTTACTAAAGACGGGCTCTAACTCAGCAGGCTCAATAATAGTTTTGAAGGTCTATCTAATTGAGTCACTGATGTGTGCTTAAGTATTCATTTACTTAAGGACTCAAACATTTATTTATTTATCCATTTATTTTCTGTGGAAGAGGGTCAAAAGTAATTATAGGTAAATAATCCACATTTTATCGTCTTCAATGGAATGTTCTGAAAGGAACTTCAATAAAATAAAATTAAAAAATCACATTTATATAGCACCTCTGCACTGTGTTTAAACATTGGTGGACCTAATCTTGCTTTCCTTACTCAGGCAATTCATCAAAGTCAATCTTTACGTTTGCAGAATCAGGCCCCTTGTGTCTAGAAGCAACAGAAGACAAGTTCAAAAAGAGCCTGAGACACCCTGCTGTGGACAGAGAGCCCTTAACTTTAAAAGGTCCTGGCTTTTGACAGTTGATCACACAGACCCTTAGAGGAAAAGTTCATTGACTTTAACTAATTTGTTAGATAACTGGAGAAAAATAATCATAACCAGAAATAGAGAAATTAAATAAGAAGCTTGTAAGGAGTATTCAGAATACCTGAAAATGCTTCAACATCTCCGCTGATATAATCAGCAGTTGTGTAATACAGGGGGCTTGCATTTGAACAATAAATCTTACTGGAAATGCAGCCTGATGGCCCCTATCAAGACAAACAACAGAACCGTAGCCAGAAACACAGGAAAAACAATAGGGCATGGCCCATCAATGGGATATGAGGGCATGTTCTGCCAGGGTTTGCTCAGCACCTTACAAGATTATGTGGAAGATTTTCACAGCTCTTGTTAGCGAACAAATCTAAAGGTTGCATGGATTTACACCATGCCCCCCACCCACACCCCCAAAAGAAGTACAGAACTAAGAAGAGCTGTGCTATCTCTGGTTGTAACTATGCTCTCACAATGAGGCTGCTTCCTGTTTCATTCTTCTTCTTTTTTTAACAGGTTTATTTTTGAATAGATGCTAGTAACTTAGTCAGACTTTCATAATGGGCTAGGCTGCAGGAAACTATTTCATATTCCTTTGCACTTATTTAAATGTAGATTTTCTTCTATATGTTTATAAACTCCCTTTGACTCCAGTGGGAAAAGAATCAGGCCCTGACTGATTAAGGGTTTGCAGGATTAGCCTCTCACTTATATTGTCATCAAAACTATTGGTTTATATTTAACTCAATTTTGCTCCCATCTGGAGGGAACAAGACTGGACCCTTTGTGAGGTCCGTTCCTAAATTTATAAGAGAGTTCCTATGTAGACAAAGTACATTTTTTTCTGTTATGTCCACACACATCAGTTTAAAATTTGTGGAGAAAAGACTCAAGATGCTGCAAAATGAAATCTTCAGGGATCATTTTAATTCAGGTGATAAAATGCCATTAATTTTCATAGCTACATGTTAAATAATTGTTGCCTTCACATCTCATTCAATTTTTTTTAGTTTTTTAAAAGACGTTTGGTTCAGTGTAGAATATATTTCATTGTGGTTTCTGGATGCACATCATATTTTCTCCTCTGAAATAGTCTGTCTATATTTTTAAAAATGATATTTTAAAATGTATACAGAGAGTTTATTGACTTTTGTTGCGATCCCACACAGCTCCAGAGACATCAGGCCAAAATTCTACTTACGGTTACATGATACAACCCCATTGAAGTTATAATAAATTCATGGCCCCCTAGGATTTCCTGGTTGTCATTATGCATCATGCTACGGCCCATCAAAACTTCACGGTCAAAGTGGGGATAGAACCTCTTTCTATCTAATAAGATGCTAGAAGAATCTGTTAGCAATCAGCAGTATAGGGCCTATGCATTATTTAGCTATGTTGGTTCTGTCCAGTAGAAGACAGTGGTGCACATACACATTAGCCAGTTCAGTACAAAGTAAATGGGGTTGCCTCATTTTAAAGGAGAGCAGAATTTGGTCCACATTGTTTACAACTATCTTTATTAAATTCCAGCGAATCAGCATAT